ACGTGACACATTAGCATGTTTTGTGCTAAAGGTGCCCTCCGCCACACTTCTACCAACCCCACCTCTGCTGAAGTTATTATGTCACCACTTCTAACTCATGTTTTTCTCTGGCCCCAAATATTTACTTATATAAAGACCAGTGCGTTAACTTGTGGTACAGACATCATTAACCACGTGAATCAAGTAGAAAAATAACAATGAGTCAGATCTAAGAACAAGAAACAACAAGCAGGTTCAACTGTACATGAAAGAAAATCCTACAATCAGCAAAGTAATACTTTCACAGACTGGATTTTCACTCATAGATCTAAAGAAAAAAAAACCTAAAAAGTAAAATAGGGATCCTCCTTGAGTGTTCTTACACATTCCCTTAAATGACAATGGGACACTGACATTAGACCTGGATTCTGAGCCAAAGGAAATGTATGCAGAGAATGTTTTAGCACTTCATGTTCAAATTTAAGTACACTGCCTTATTTAAGTACACTGCCTTCTAGAAACACGTGGAGACACGCATCTGTCCTCAGGAGAAAATAAGCAGATCCTTCTCAGAAGACTGAATTGTAAGAACTTATTAAATAATAGCTGTGATTCTAACTCTGCTCCTTCCTCTAGAAGCCTTGGTTCTTAAGTGTTACCCCAGGTGATACAAAAGTGTTCACCCTGACACAGCTCTATGCAGGCTGACAGCAGAACAGAGGTGAAAATCTAATTACTTGGGCTTACGGAAAAGGACACTACACAGACAGTAAACAGTGGTGGTTGCTATGCAACATTACTTTCTAGAAGCTGCCTTCCCTACTTCCATACAAGGGAAAAGAAGATCTGATGGTCTCAATTCTTCACCGTATCTGAAGCAACTAACAAAAATTCACATAGGCTGCATGCGTATCATAAGTCTTTACATTACTGAACAATGTGAACAACGAAAACAGATCTTTTTTAATCTATTGATTTGTGTCAAGGAGCTGTAATGAAAACCACCTTATTACTGTTACATCAGAGTCAATTATGTACCAACTTCAAGCCAGACTTTCCTCTCTAAGTATATATTTCCGAGTATTATGAAAAACTTAAAAAACTATAATGTATAATTCTGAGAGAATGAAGCCAATCTTCTCTAAGACTTTAGGATCATGTGGATAATAGTAAAGTGAAGGACCTGAATAGAAGATGTTTTCAAATTGAGTAATTTGTTATATTCCCTCTTCGGTAATTTTTATTTTTGTTTACTTGTTTCTTTTCTCCTTTAAAGGTCTAGATGAGGTAAATAAATGATGTTTAGGCATGAAAGAAAATGAATTTTACAGAATCCAAAGCCTCTCCAGGTGGCTAAGTTGCCCAGATATCTTTACACAATTTGAATTCCAAACATCAATTAAGTCATCCACATCTCTAAAAAATGAATTTCACTCAGAATGGATTCTTTGACTCACATTGTGAATAACTTATCATAAAGCTATATATATATATGTGTGTGTGTGTGTGTGTGTGTATATACACACATATGTTTTCAGCCTTCCAAGCAGGTGGTCTTATCCATTTACCCAATACACAGTTAGCAATGGAAGTCAAACAAGTAAGGCTGAAAAACGAGAAGTCTCTGTTCTTCTTCAGAGCCTGCACCCCAGCGGCAGGACTGAAGTGTGGAGGAAACCAATGCAGCTTCCTGGAGGAAGCACTGTGTGTCTTCCTGGGCACAGACCCCTTCCCCTGACTCCAGCTTCTCGGTGCCTCTGGAGCTCGGCTACGCAGTGACCCTCTGCGGGGTCTGGGAGGTCAGAAGCCTTTCGATAACGGTGTCCTCGTGCTTCTGCGGCTCTCTCATCCCCGATCTGTTTGGAGAGTGCAATCAAGTTCTCCAAAGTCACCTAACGTGTGCAGTCACCAAATGCAGAAGCAGAAGGGTGGGAGGTGCACTGTCTTCTGGCAAACCACACACTAAGGTGGCTTCCAAACACCATAAAACAACACCACTTTTTTCATAAATTTGTTTTTGTTTTAGAAAAAATTACTTTCCATAAAATATACCAATGTTTGTCCTTTCTAATAAAAACATATTTGAATCTCCTCCTCTTTAAGGTCTGTTTTTACAATGCTGGGGCTCAGGCCCAGGGCGGCCTTCACTCTAGGCAAGCTCTTCTCCTCCAGCCCAGCCCAGCCCAGCCCATCATCGCTGCCTAATGGGATTCTCAGCAGACCAGGAAGCACACAGGATAAATGTGCAGCGGCATTTTCAAGTCCTTTCAAATGGAAGGGGATCTGGAGACGGAGCCTGCGGACCAAAGGTGTGGTGCAAGTATTGCTCTTCACAGTGTCCCTGGACTGAACTGCACAAGGTCACCACCATGGTGCAAAGCCCTCCCCGCCATGCCTGGGGATTGAACCAGAGCCTCACGCCAAACTACGTGCTACCCAGCCTTTTCTTCTATGCTTTATTATGGCATAGGGTCTCATAGTTACTAAGCTTCCCATGCTAGGCTCACAATTGCAATCTCCCTGCTTCAGCCTCCCAGTGGTACTTCTCTTTTTAGGTTTCTGGTTTTTAAAAAAAAAGCCATTTCAAATTCTTCCACCAAGTTGAGCGACTTGTAGCAAATGGCTAAAAATGAAGTTCTGCCTTACAAATGGGACACAGTAAGGTGGTGACCATCACAGGAAGTTAACAGCCACAAGAGGCTCTGTGCTGCTCTGAGATAGAATCTCTGCTCCAGAGCTGGGCTGCCAGCCACCTTTCACAGAAATGGACTGAGGGAAAGAGAGGGGTTACTGCTTCCCAGAATACAGCAATGTTAAAAACTGTCACGGTGATCTACGCTATGACTATTTGTTCTTAAAAATTGATATCAAACAAAAGAAAATACCACAGAATGATTTTGAGCAACGAGCCTTCCTAGAAGTCCCTATCCATCACCCTTCTGTTAGCTTTCAGGCAGGTAAGTGATGTACTTGGGTAGATGAATGCATAAGTCTCTTCATCAAACACAAAAGCTGAAGTTACTGAAGCGATAAACATTCCATATACACCTAGAAAGAGTCTAGGTTCTGGAGATTCTATGGTTCTGAACATACTGAGATCAATGCCCAAAATGATGAAACGCTGTTTTTCAAGCAGAATGTACTAAAAATTTTTTAAATTAAAAAGCAACAAACATGACATTAAGAAAAAGACTGAAAAAAGACAATTATCCCAAGCCATTTCTAAGATTTTTGTAAAAGGGAGCCATTCCTATGACTGATGCCAAAAATACACTCTTGCAGCCAGGAGAGCCATACACACCTGTAACCCCAGTGCTCTGGGAGCCTGAGGCAGGAGGATCAAAAGTTTAAGCCCAGCCCAGGCAACTTAGCAAGTTAAGGAGATTGTCAAGAAAGAAAAGAAAGAAAAGAAAGAAAAGAAAGAAAAGAAAGAAAGAAAGAAAGAAAGAAAGGAAGGAAGGAAGGAAGGAAGGAAGGAAGGAAGGAAGGAAGGAAAGAAAGAAAGAAAGAAAGAAAGAAAGAAAGAAAGAAAGAAAGAAAGAAAGAAAGAAAGAAAGAAAGAAAGAAAGAAAGAACGGACTGGGGCTGCAGCTCAGTATGAACACCCTGGGTTCATTTCTAAGTGCCTAAATAACAATATGACTATGAATACCACTCACACACTGTGTAGCACTGAGTTCTGCCAAAACCATGGGGAAAAAAACCCCTAGTGACCATGAGGCCGCCTGCAGGCTGGGTGGGAGGCACAAGGGGCCCGGCCTGTGCAAGAGAAGTGCACGCCCTTGCGTTGTGCTCACGGGGAGGTCGCAGGGTCCAGCACTCAGGCACCAGGATTCAGAGCCTCCAAAGTTTCCCCCACCCCTAATGTACTTCACTTTTCTACTCAAAACCCTCCATCATTAAAATATTTGCACTTTTTGTAACTTAGACGGCTACATTTAAAAAACTGGGAAATAGTAAGTACATAAAGCACCATGACCCAAAGACAATAATAACAGTAATAATAATAACACTGCTAAGAGTAAATTAGAAGAACAGCCCACGGGAGGTGCACAGCAGCACAATTACAGATGTAATTACAATACAAGCTTACTGTGGTCAGAGTGACCAAAGGGGCATCGGCAGTGAGAAAAGCAAGAGTGTTCCCGTGAACTCTGCGTTTCAGGGACAGCAAGCAGGTCTCAGACTGGCTCTCGGCCGGAGTTAATGCTCCACTGGCGGCCACACCACAAGCCCAAGGAACCATTAACAGGAACGCGATCCGATTCTCCTCCAGGCCAGGTTTCCTTCCACACGCGTGTGCCTGCTCTCACATCCAGGACTCCCGTGCCTCAGGGCTGTGTCCTTGAATGTGAGGGATGAGCTCGGCAGGGGGAAGCCACAGCCCAGGAGAGGTGGAACTACACAGCATGCTCGGCTGTCGGGACCCCAGTTCACAACTCGGAAGCCTGCAGGAAGCACCTTGGGATGCAGGTGACCGTACAGAGTCAACAGTCTACTTTCAGTTCTCACCTAAGAACGTACCCCACACCGGACCCGCTCTCCCACTGAGCTATTTCCTCATCTGCCACGTAGAATACAGAATAAGTCATCTACAGGGGCAAAAACAACAGGCGTGGTTCAACAGCCAATGGTTAACACACAAGTGAGAAACACAACAGTGGCAGACTCAAAGTGCACCAGTGAGGGGCAGTACACAGCACGTCACCCGGGCACGAGTCAGTGCAGACTATGACCCAGTATTGTATGGCAGGGATGTAGGTTTCTGTGATGGGAAACAGAGGCAGCCTTGGCTTTAGTTCTTCATGTAATGCTCATGACACGAGGCACCATTTTTCTTGAACAACTCCCTTTGCTGAGGTATTGTCACACTCCTCTCTTCAGAGTGAAACTCTATTTGCTGTAAAAAGCATTGATTTTCAAGAGAAAGAATGTGATTTTTGTACAAAAACAATTTGCGTTTTATGAAACAGTGTGGTGTTTATCTGGTCAGGTGCTCACGACTCCAGTGATGAGCTCACCTTCCACATCGACCTCAGGCCCAGGCGGAGTAGGATGGGTGGGCAGGCTCAGGACAGGACACGGAGTCACTCCCAGGCGGGCATGTGTTTTGTGTTCACAGACTCTCCGGAACATTTCCAGGGCAAACAGAAATCGTCAGCGGTCCGAGGGTGCTGGGGAGGATCTGAAGCTTCCTCTGGGGAGAAGGCAGGGACAGGAGACTATGGGCAGGCGAGAGAGAGGAGGCCAAGGCAGTGTCACTCTGGAGCCACCCAGCGGAGGGCACCCAGCGGGCCAGCGGACAGGTCCCGGGGCCACAGCCCACGGGCAGAGACTGCCTCCTGAGACCCAGCCACCAGGAGGGCCCCGGGAAAAAACAACCAGGGCACAAAGGAATCACACACAGGTTCTGTCCGCGACTACGGCCACTGCCACCCTCTGCCCAGATGCGCCCTGTGCACACCCTAGCACCCACTTTCCTTCTAATGGTCCCGGCTGACTTCCCTGCTTCAACCTCTCTGTTCTTGGACAGTTCTTCCCAGCCGCGGCCCAGTCAGTGTGAGCGGAGGGCTCCGAACGGTGGACAGCAACGCTCAGTGGAGCAGCGTGATCAGGAGTACCGAGCCCCGGGCAACAAAACACAAGAAAGGAAGGAGCTGGAGGGGCAGAGGCGCAGCTCAGGGCTGGAGCGCCTGCCTGCCCAGCAGGTGTGAGGCCCTGCATTCAATCCTATCACTGCTAAAAAACAAAAATAAAAATCAGAAAATCAAACCTTGCGCAGTTGTAATTATCTTGTTTCTTATTTGTCTTATTCTGTCACTTATCTTTTCACGTGCAGCCACACTGATGACAGGTGACAGCCCAAAACAATTGCCTTCGGTGAGGTGTAAGTCAAATCGCAGGCGAAAAAACAAGGTCATCACTGCCTTTGTATTGTGCCCTAGAAAAGAGCACTTGGTTCCTCTGAGCACCACAGACACATACTACAGTGCTTCTCCTTCCAAAGGCACAGTAATAACCCCAAGGACAGCATTTTCTACAGGATTCACACCTGCAGCTAGAAAGGGGTTGTATTCTTGATTTTCTCAGCAAACTAGCAAACCGGCTCCATGCAGGGCGCTGTGCTCTGCAGAGTCTGACACTCAGCTTCAAAGTAGCGCAGGAGTCAGAAGCAGGTCTCAGTGAGGGACAGGTGCTGCTGTGTCCCACGGACAGGCTGCGCTTAGAAAGGCAAATTAATCAGTTTCCCCATGTGCTGGTCTCAGCAGGCAGGCTAGGGGCCCTCTTGCAGTCAGAGAGCTTGGGCGGTGAGTCTCCCAGCCAGGCAGGCAAGCGCCGTGGGTTTTTCCCGGCTTACAGCTCACACCTGTCCATAAACAAAGGGTCTGATGTGCAAGCTAAGGTCATGCTCCAGATGTTTCCAACAAGTGCACCAACAAAGCCGTGATAGTCTCTTCATCGAAAGGGTTAAGAGCAGAGCAGGACACACCAGCTACATGCTAAGCTTTAGAAAAAGAAGCAGAAAATTCCACACAGTGCCAAACGATGGCAGCTGTCTTGTCTCTTCCCAGACAAACTCTTAGGTCTTGTGAAAACAGCATTTCTTGTGAAGCGCCAAAAACAACACAGATCATTGTGCTGGGCCTCCGGCGCCGTAGCCGCTGCAAGCCTGCGGGACGGGAATCCGGGCCAAGGGGAAATCCTCGGCCTCAGGGCCTGACTCAGGAATCCACAGCCCACGCTTTCAAACCAAGTCTTGCAGGGAAGATGCTTTCTGTTAGAGTGGAAGAAAGTGCCGGAGGTATTTGCTTTCCCAAACCCTGCACCTGAGCTAGATTTAAAAATTAGCCCAGTGCTGTTTCTAGTACAGCAGCAACTTAAACTTAGCAGAGGGCATTTGGAAAACACCCAGCATATTTTAGGAAGGTACGGCCCACCCACCCCTCCCCAGCTGCTTCCTCAGCGCTTACAGATGAAACAGCGACACATTAATGTATTTGACTCTATTCTCAGTACGCATATGAAGTATACGTGGAGGCATATGTGCAATCATTTAAAATCTTTCCCCTGAAGTTTTGTTTAACATACGCACGCAACTTGTTCCCGTAGGGGATAGTGTTTCCACTGTGGCCGGAATCCTGGAGCTACTGCAGAGCCAGGGCATCCACGGAATTTCTCACGGCAGTCACCACCCCGTGACCAGCGCTGAGACCACTGTCACAATACCTGGTGCATGTGTGGCTGAAGGAGGACACAGGTGAGAGAGGGTGACCACTGCCGAAGAGTGAACCTTGCACACCCGCCTCGAACCTTTCCAGTTCCCACGAGTTTCCTCAAGAAAAGCCAGAGACCCTCTCCATTGAAGAACCAAAAAGAAGTCAATTTACTCTCTCATCTCCAGACTAAGAAGCCGTTCGAAGCTTCATGATGACTCCTTTAAATACTCAAGACACCGAAACACATGTAAAGTTCAGAAATTAAGGCATGTCATGGAAATTGGAGAGAGAAATGAAAAAGTATTTACAACTTTCTGCTTAAGAGTTTGATATGCAAAATCAAAGGGAAAGAATATAATGTTCACTTGTTTTCACACACACACACACACACACACAAGGATGCACACGTGTGCACAAGCTCACTCAAGAGTCTGTGCCACAGGATTTCTTTATAATAAACTGGCCTCAGGAAATTATTAATGAAGGGTTAGGAGGTTACTCAGCAGCTAAGCCCAGAAGAATGCCTATGCGAAGCAAAGTAACTCCTCAAGAGAGAGGATGATTGTTCGGGAAAGACCGGCAGTTGGAAAAAGAACGGCTTCTGAGCCAAGAAATTTCTTACACTGTGCAAAGCTGAAATGCAATGAGTCACCATACTTTGCATTTTCTAAGCCCGTGTCAGTGGACTGACCTCTGATGTTCTTTGACAGTGAAGGACAGCTCCAGCTTGGAAATGATGCTGTTCCCCTGACCTGCCTCCTGCTCCTCCTTCTCCTGTGTCCTCCTGAGGACACAGGCTCAGCCCTGGAGGAAGCTGTTACAAACTAGATGACATATCAGTTGTCACGTTTGGCTCCACCGTCAGGAAGAGAAGCGGCACAGGAGAAAAGCAGTTTAACTCAAGAGTTCTACAAGCACCAACAGCCCCAGCCGACATCAACTTTCCCTGTGACCCTTTTCCTAGGCCCTGTATGTGCTATCAGCAAAGGCCAAATGCTTGAAACAATGATTGTAAGAGCACATGCCATCCTAAAAGGCACTACACTTTGGCACAAGGATTATTGTAAGCTGAAGGCAACCCAGAATCAACCAGCCAGGAAAAGGTCTCTGCTCACTGATCACCCGCCTCAAAGAGGGTGCAAACCTCCCTTGGTGAAAGTGGGCCCCTACCCTCTCCCTCTCCTCTCTCTAGCCCCTCCCCATTCACCACCCTTTGTTAAAAGGATTCACAAAACATCATCTCTAAGCTCTTCTTTAGGTTTTCCCTTCTCTTCTCTGAGCTCCAGGGCACTGAAAATTAAGTGAGGAGGGGAGGGGAAAAGAAATCTGGGAATGGAATTAACATGAAAACATGGAAACAAAGTCTGTGTAGACAGGGTTGGGTGGATGGTTGAAAGGAGGCCGGGGGAATGGGGAAAAAATAAGAACCAAGATGGATTATGAAAAGGAACAAATTTCCAACGATGAATGTCATTACATTGTAGACCTTAAGTGTGGCAATAAAATCAATTAGTTAAAAAAAGACAATTAAAAATATCAATATGATCTGCATTGTTTTCTCTGATTAGGTTATCTTTTGTCAGTATAATTCACAGGCCCCACCTGCTAAGGCAAAGAAGTTGTGGAAAACTTTTCATTCCTTCCCCTACAATTTAGCACGCAAATTCAAAGCAATATCTGAATTGGGGGAAAAAAATCTACTTATAACCTAAAATGTTGATAAGTATTGAATTGCTAAGTCAAACGAAGAAAGGATAATAACTGGAAAATAAAATGTCAATTGCTATGAAATAAAATCGGCAGTTCATATTTTTATAGCTTTGGAAATTGTCTCGGAGGTACTCGTAGCTGTAGAGCGACTGCCACACCCTGGTGTAGGTGGGAGGCACACAGGACGTAACGGTTTATATTCTAAACAAGCAGCAAGAAAGCAGACCCTTCTCTTGCATCACTGGAATTTCTCTCTAGATACAGGGGTTGAGGGCCTCGTCAGGCAAAGTCCTAGGTACTAACAGTGAAAAGGGAAAAATAAATCTTTAGTAACAACAACAACAAAAACCTCCTTCCTCACAGATGGCACATTGCAGTGTCTTCACACACAAAGCCTCTTCCAGGAAAGTGGAGAGCAACGTGGCTCGTCACAGGGTTTATAAAGTCAGATTTCACCGTGAGGTTTCTCGTCCTCTATGACCCACATGGGTCCACATGTAAAGGCAATGGGCAATGTATATGTGTCCGTATTTACATAGAGTGGCATAGTTTTAAAAATGTTGGAAATCACTATTAATTCTGCAAGGTTTGAGGAACAGATGGCAGGGTTTTCACCATTTGTGCTTACCCAGAACAGTCTGCTGGAAGAGGGGTCCCACCCACTGAGACGACCACAGGGCACTGAAGTCCAGGGTTTCAGGCCCAATAGGACAAAAGTCACAGAGGACAAAGGGAGAAGGGGGAAGCTCTATGCCTACTGCAGAGCCAGCTGCGCTTCCCTGACAGGACTCAAACCAGAGAAAGGTTCTCACTTCTCAGGGCGGCCAAAATCATTGCCTGGAGGCCACACTGCACCCACGCAGGAAGATCCAAATCCCTGCTGTGTACCGAGGACCCACTGTGCAAAGAACCAAGTTCAGTCTCTCCTTAACCTACAGATACGCTGAGCCACATCTGGAAATTGGGCCACTTCAAGCATCACTTCAAGGGCCAAAGAACTGCCAGGGAAGTGACAAAATAGGGAAGGAACAAGGGTGCTACTGCCTGGATATTCTTCTGCTTTAGACTTCCTTCCCCAAAACAGCAAGGGACAAATGCGAGTCACATACTCTTCTCTGGGGTGACTTGTTTTAACATCTACACTGAAACGAAATACAAAGTATTAGGCTCGATAGCCTAAGATAATATACTCAGCAAAGGGATGAATCTGCTGGATTTCCACATAGTGCATGTTTCACACACGAGCAAAACTTTTTCCTACAGGTTTAACTAAAATATCTGATTCTACCAACATCTTCTGCGCACCTAAACAGATTAGTCATGAAACAGTCAGAAACAAAGAATTGCAAGTCACAAAAGAATGGTGGAGTTGTCCTAAATTATAGCTTGGTTTTGTTTTTGTTTTTTGTTTTTTGGTTTTTCTGTGGTACTGGGGATCGAATTTATAGCTTGGTTTTGACACAGAGACACAACGACACTGCCAACCGCCTTAGGAATGCAATACCTATTTGTTGCCAT